CTGAATTCAGTCCTAGTGTATGCAACTGCCCCCAAAATAAAAGATTATGTAATAGTGGTTGTACAAATGGCTGTTAATAACACCGTTCTACAAGTGTTTGTGTATACCCTTTCTAGAATAGCAGAAGTGACAGTTTTACAGAATAGGTATTTTTTTTTCTAGAGGAAGGCTTTGAGATGTGACCTGAATATGTCTCAGTTAAAAGCACACAAAGTTCTTCTGCAGTACACCTGTGATGTCTGTCTGTGTTTTATTTTTGGTTCTGAGTGCCCTATTCATCTGTGAATGTGAGTGCAGAAATGTTAAAAATACCAAAAGTCTTGTAGGCTTCTCTTAAGGCTTTCCCAATTTTCATTTCAAACGTGTATATCCAAATTAACCTTTCAGAGTGATGCAGCGATACCTGTTTCTTCTCCCCATGCGTGTCCCAGATCAGTTACAAGCTCAGTAGCATCATCCTCTTGCTGGTTGGAATCGGGGTTCGTTAAATAAGTCATGACTACAGGAGTCAGCATGTTGGCCTGCAGCTGTCTCTCTGAAAAGAAAGAGAGCAAGCAAGCAAAGCTCTTCCTGAGAGCTAAAAATCTGCAGGCACTTGTTTCTTTTTAGGAGATGTCAGTCTAGATAATTTAAACCAAACTGCACTCCTGGAAAATACAGAAAGCTTGAATTTATTTGCATGTTAGAAGACAAAAAGAGAAGAGATGCTGACTTGAAACTTTTGCCTATAGAAATAATCTGATTCTTAGTTTGTGGATTCATGATGTTTAATATTAGAGGTACATCTTGTCTGATCTTCACAGTACTTTGCAATTTAGGCTATAGTGAAATGTGTTGTCACATAATAAATTTTAATATCTGCTGGACATAGAGGTCTTAAACAGCCTCCTAATGGATTTGAATGTGGAACTTCTGTTCAGAACTCTTGTTTGCAATATCACATGCACTTTGTATGCCCTTTGGATGTTTCCTATGTATGAATGCACCAGTAAGTTCTCCAGTACTTTTGTTTATTGTGGGCTTCTTTTCTGGTTTCTGGTTTTACACACTGTGTAGTTTTGCTTCTTTCCTTATCTATTTAATGTTTCTGAATGCTTTCACCATTTTTTAGCATTACAGGGGAATATTATGTTGTATTGGCCAAGCATTACGCAGTTGTAGTAAAAGTAGATGTTATTGAATCTTTCTTGCTGTTTCTCTGTCATTTTAAACAGATGATTCACAATTACATGGAGCACTTGGAAAGAACCAAACTTCATCAGCTATCAGGGGGTGATCAGCTAGAATCCACAACACACAGTAGAATTAGGTAAGCTATTTACTATGCTCTCACCCTGAAATGAAAGAAAAAAATCCATTCATTTGTGTTTGCAAGACTTTGTTCTTTAATCCTACAACAACAGTTCGGCTGAATCAGAAAGATTTGTTGTATGATTGGAATGCAGTAAGAGAATAGTGTAGAAATCGGTAGAAAGAGGCTTTTGCTGTTGTAGTACTAAATGTTGAGATATACTTTATACGTTAGCCTTAAACGATTTCAGCTTTTTTGGGTGTTTGCATTTGGGTAGGCAGAGAAAATGTCAGCAGCTGTCCCAGAATAACAGCTCTCTTGCCGTGGCGTCGCGTACAGGTTGATGAAGGTGCCTGTCGCGGTACCCGCTCGTTCCGAGGGCTTGATGCGAATCTGTTATGCAGATTTTGAAGCTTTCTAGCCTATGAACTCTGCGTGGAAGGAGGGGAGAATAACTCCAGGGCTGGCTATGTCTCTGCGTTGCTGCATAGATGCTGCGAGGAGCCCGGCGGCTCCGGCGCGAGGGGGTGGAGAGCGGTGATGTCATTGCTCTGGAGCTGCTGCAGAAGAGTGGAAAGCTGCTGCTGATGGCATTGTTTTTGTGGCAGCGGCTGAATGACAGACTTTGCCTACAAAGATACACCCTCGGCCCCTGTGTAGCCGCCTTGGTTCCGGCGTTTCACCATGCCAGCACAGCGCCATGAATCCTGGATGCATGCTGCTATTTGTGTTTGGCTTCGTTGGCGGGGCGGTGGTCATTAATTCCGCTATCCTGGTGTCTCTCTCGGTTTTGCTGCTTGTGCACTTTTCTATTTCTACTGGTGTGCCAGCTCTGACGCAGAACCTCC